CTTTTGGGTTGGAAGGGACCCCTAGAGGTCATCTGGTCCAACCCCCCCGCAGTGAGCATGGACACCGCTAACTAGATCAGATTGCTCAGAGCCCCGTCCAACCTGGCCTTGAATGCTTCCAGAATGAACTGTCCTAACTTGTGATGCAAGAGGACTTGCTAAGGGACACACTCCTCAACCAAGGGAGTGCTCCTGATCTCCTTGGCCTTTCAAAGAGGAGGATCAGAGACATCCTTGGGGTCTGCCTCGAGGTACAAGGGCCTTGAAGACCTTGCTGGGAAAGACTGAGGCAGAGAGGACACAGAGTAGGTCAGACCTCTCTGCACTTCCTCTCACTGAATGCAGAAGTGGCCCCACATAACCTGTGTTTATTCTTTCACTGTTACTCAAGTAGCACCAGCTGGTTAGGGCACCCTTGGACTCCCTTGCAAGGCTCCTCTCTAGGGAAGCTGTGGGTTTCCCAAAGCCATTCCTATTTCTAAATTCCTCCCTCTGAACTGAGTCTCTGCAGTCACCTCCTGTATATGCTTCCACTGCCTATGGAGCTTCCTCAGGTGTCCCCTCTTCACCCAAGCTGGTCTTGTGAGCTAGGTACTCACCACTGTTCTTGGTGGGTGATTCTCTCATTAAGGAACAGCTGTACTGAGTGGTGCTGCCCTTCACTGCTGCCCACAGGATCCCCAGTAACAGCCTCTTGAATAGGCCAAAGACCACCCCTCGGAGGTCTGACACCTGCACTCTGCTCCTCTCCTTCCTCAGTCTGCTCAAGAGATGGAGCCCCCCCTATTTCACAGTCACTGCAGCCCAGGGTGACACTGGTTTTGACATGCCTGACCAGCTCTTCATGCTTTGCAAGGACCTGTTCCAGGTGGTTATCATCTCTGTTGGTCCAACTGGTGGCTTTCCTCACATACTGCTCCAACATCCTCCAGAAACCTACGGGTCTATTTTTGCAGTGCTGTGTTCTCCCTCCAATGAGTGTCATGGTAATTAATGTCCCAAGAAAGAGCCCTCGGTCACTGATCTGGAGACTGCCTTGAGGTGCTGAAGTAAGAGCTTGTCCACCTCGTCCCCTTGATTGCAGGTTCTTTATCTCCTACCACAGTGTCGCCCTATCTGGCCTCTTCTCTGATCCTCACACACAAGGCCTCACCCAACCTGTTGACTCTCTCAGAAAGGAGCTCCATGCATCCAAGCAGCTCCTTCACACAAAAAGTGTTCCGCTTGTGATGTACCGAGCCTGTGTCTCCTTTGCATTGCAGCATGAAAGCTGTGTGAGGTGTCCCACTGTGCCTCCCAAATTATTCCATCAGTGTAACAGCTTGTGACAGACCATGGAGGTCCAGATCCTCCTGCCTCTTCCCAGTCTGAGGATAGTGTTGCACATCTGGGCTGGAGCCCCTGAGTTGTGGCTCCAGGGCCAAGCTCAGACTTGTCATGGTGAACAGTGATACCAAGCACCCAAAAGCCTGTGCACGCAAAAGCTTTGCTTCATGCTGGAGGGGATGGCAGAGGGCATGGTAAGACAGACGTGAGGTGCCCCCAAAGAGAGCAATCCCTGATGTGCCCAATGTGAGAGAGAAAGAGGGCTGGGCTGTGCAGCCCTGGCAGGAGAGGGCACAGCTGTCTGGGGTGTCTCTGCAGCCCCGGGGGGCCTTTGGCAGGGACAGGCAGTGGTGTCCTGGAAGGACAAGGTGCTGCTGAAAGTGTCCTTGGCTGTGGACATCCTGTGATCCGGTCACACTAAATTCATTGGACTGACTCTTTGAAGGCTCTGTATCATCAAGAGGGGGAGTGGAGAATGGAAGAGAGGAGAATCCAAAGCAGAGAACGGCAGTCCACGAGTGGACTCATTGGACTGACTCTTTGAAGGCTCTGTATCATCAAGAGGGGGAGTGGAGAATGGAAGAGAGGAGAATCCAAAGCAGAGAACGGCAGTCCACGAGTGGACACCCCAGTGCAATGTGCTGCTTATTCATGCAGCGCCTTGCATCTACCAGACAGAGACGGGACAGAGCTGTCCTCCCTGCAGGGGTGGGAATCAGCCTGGGGAGCCCTGGTGTCTCACACAGCACCACAGGCCTGGATTTGGCCATCAAATGAGCAGCTTCCCTGAAGCAGGTCAGGCTCTGTGGGGATGTGCAAGACAGCGATTGTTACAGACAATGGACAGCCAGTAAATACAGGTAAAGGAGGGGAGAGAGAGAAAGGCTTCCCTCTCCCTCTGGCACATCACTCCATTGGGTCAGCTGAACACCTCGATAGGCGGCCCTGAACAGCGTGAGCAGGGAGAGGTGGTGAGGTCCTAACTGTGGGCATCTGCCATCATTTCAGCTGGCATCCTCACCAAGCTGCAGGATGATGTCCCCAGATGGTCCCCAGTCTCTCTTTACTGCTCCATTGTCATGGACAACATCTGGCCTCTCAAATGTCACCAGGTGTTTGTGTGAGCACTCCATGTCTCCATCTTCATCAACCACCATGGGACCATAGAGAAGTAGTGCAGGTGCCTATTTTTAACAGACTCCATTACGGAAGCAGCAAGAGGAACCTCACCACCTCCTGTGGGTTTGTGGCAGGCATGGAGGGAGCTGAGGTCCCTCCCAGCCCCACAACTACAGATGCAGGATGAGATGCCTCCATTGACTCAGCTGATTCCCTTCTCTCAGCATGGGTAAAGGATGTCACTGTCCAGGTCTCCTGCCTAATGATGGGAGAAGGAAGGGGGATTCTCAGCCCTAACTGTGTCTCTGAGAGGAAAAAGGACACTGCTGGAAAGAAACATCTCTGCAGAGGTGAGGCAGGCAGCATGGGTGATTGCTTCTGTCTCTTTCCAGGGAGGTTCCTGGAGAGCCCCAGGGACACCTGGAGGCAGCGCAGTGGGGTGGGGGCAGAGACAGTCATGCCTTGGGCAGGTCCTCTGCTGCTGGGCTGAGACAGGCTCCTGGGGTGGAGGGAGCTCATGGCAAGCAGGCAGCACTGCCGAGAGACAGCTCTGCCAGGGAAGAGCTCCTCTGCAAAGCACAGCAGGGCGCCGGGAAAAGGAGTAGGACAGGGAGAGATTCAAGGCAGCCGGGAGTGGGAGGAGAGGGGAGAGCCGAAAGGGAAGAAATCTGGACAGCCCCTGACACGGTAAGTCTCTTGGTGCAGGGCAATGCAGCTGCAGTTCTGGGAAGGCTCTCCTGAAGCTCTCCTAGCCTCCAGGCTCCAGGATCTGTCCGGAGGTCTCCCAGCCCAGGGGCTCATGTGAGACAAGTGTGAAGGGCTGAAGCCCGGGTGTGCACCCAGAGCTGCCCAGGGTGTTTCAGAGGGGACTTTGCCAGAGGCAGGGGCTACTCTAAAGGCGAAGAGCTTTCCTGAGCCTGTGCTTTCAGTTTCCTGCTCTTTCAGGGAAAAGGGAAAAGGCGCTGCTGCTTGTGGAGAGGGAGACTGAGAGTCCTGAGCTGCTCCACTGAGACATCAGTAGGTGTGGTAGGAGCCGAGTGAACTGCTTCCACCCACTCCCCTACCTACAGAGAGCACCAGTGTCAGCTTTGTTGCCCTCATCGGGTTCTGTCTGACCTGCTCCTTACTGCCTGCAAGTGGGGAGTACCTCTGGAGAGTGCCTGAAACTGGGAGGTTTCTTCAGGGCAGGGCTGAGCAGAGAGCAGCTCCTGATGGGCTCTGTGATCCCTGAAAGGGAAAAAAATTGAGGGCAGGGAAAGGGTTCATGGCAAGGATAGCTGCAGGCATCAGACACATGGGCAGAGAGCTATAGGAAACTCCAAGGAGCAATGTCATGTGAGGGAGAATTTTGAAAGCTCCCTGTCACCCCCTCCAGGGCAGACTCCTTCCTCGTAGCAAGACCCCTGCTCTCGTCTCCCACCCAGCAGAGCCTCTGCCCTCCAGGCTGTGTGGTCCAGGGCAGGAGTTGCCTCCGCTGCAGCCAGAGCTCCAGCACAGCAGAGGTGCATCTCTCCTGGCACATGGCCCCTTCTGTCTGCACAGCAAAGGGGCTGAGAGCCACTGCCCTGGCATTTTGCTCACTGGGAGGTGCTGGGCACTGCTGGGCAAGGAGAAGGCTTTCCTGAGTGCCCAGCCACCTCTCTTCTCCTTGCTGCCCTTTGCAGGAGAGTCACAGAGACTGCAGGCAGTGCTTGGGCAAGGAGACCTGCTTCTCTAAGCAGACATCACCTTAAGAGCCCTGGTTCTGCTGGACAGGGAGTCCTGCGGGGCTGTGAGCATCACTCCAGAAGGGCAGAGCTCTCCTCCAGGGCCTTTGTGGTGGCTGAGAGCACCTGATCTGCCCATGCAAATCAGCATCCCGGTCCTGTCCTATTTGTCATTGCTCTGCATAGCTGTTCTGGAAAGGAAAGCTGCTTATGTATCTGCAACTTGAACAAGACCCCTCTGCTGCCAGTCTAGACCAGTCTCTCTTTCAGAGCCACTTCTGGGTGTAGTGCTCTTCCAGCTGAGAGCGGTGCAAGCACAGAGCAGCTGGGCACCAGGCTGATGGGCAGGGCAGCCCTCCTGCATGTGAGCACTGACGCATGTTTAGACTGAGAGCAACAGGGCAAGGGGGGAATTTTACCCCTTCCCAAGAACATTTCGCAAGTGGGATGGGGGTGTCTGAATCCTAAAACACATTTAAAGGAGACACATTTGCTGCAGCTCATCTCCCACCTTCCCTGCTGGAAGAAATCGTCCTCCTGAGCTTTTTACCCTGTAGTGCAGTGCAGGGAACTCCTCCCTGGGAACCCCCCTCCAAAGACATGGGCCTGTTGCTGCCTCCACGTGTCACTGCTGTAAAGCAGGGCTGACCCTTAAGGAGCCCATTGGTAGAGGGCACTGCTCTGCACAGCACACTCAGCCAGCACCAGCCAGAACTGCAGCCTCAGAGGTGCATAACAGTCCCCCAGGAAAAAAAAAATACCCTTAGGTGTTGCAGAATGAGTGAATCAGTTTTCTTAAGAAGCTTCTGCAAATTTTTCCCTTGTATCTCTTGTAGCAGTTTCCATGCCCAGAAGCAGCAGATGACCAATGGCAGCTCAATGAACAGATTCCTCCTCCTGGCCTTCGTGGACATGCGGGAGCTGCAGCTCCTGCACTTCTGGCTCTTCCTGGGCATCTACCTGGCTGCCCTCCTGGGCAACGGCCTCATCATCACCGCCATAGCCTGCGACCACCACCTCCACACCCCCATGTACTTCTTCCTCTTCAACCTCTCCCTCCTTGACTTGGGCTCCATCTCCACCATTGTCCCCAAATCAATGGCAAATTCTCTCTGGGACACCAGGGCCATTTCCTACGCAGGATGTGCTGCCCAGGTCTTTCTGTTTGTTTTCTTTGTTGGAGCAGAGATTTCTCTTCTCACCATCATGTCCTTTGACCGCTACATTGCCATCTGCAAACCCCTGCACTACGGGACCCTCCTGGGCAGCAGAGCTTGTGTCCACATGGCAGCAGCTGCCTGGGGTGGTGGGCTCCTCTATGCTGTCCTTCACACAGCCAATACGTTTTCCATTCCCCTCTGCCAAGGCAATGCTGTAGACCAGTTCTTCTGTGAGATCCCCCAGATCCTCAAGCTCTCCTGCTCAGATGCCTACCTCAGGGAAGCTGGGCTTCTTGTGGTCAGTGGTTTTTTAATCTTTGGGTGTTTTGTTTTCATTGTGGTGTCCTATGTGCAGATCTTCAGGGCTGTCCTGAGGATCCCCTCTCAGCAGGGACGGCACAAAGCCTTCTCCACGTGCCTCCCTCACCTGGCCGTGGTTTCCCTGTTTGTCAGCACTGGCATGTTTGCCCACTTGAAGCCCTCCTCCATCTCCTCACCATTTCTAGACCTAGTGGTGTCAGTGCTTTACTCAGTAGTGCCTCCATCAATGAATCCCCTCATCTACAGCATGAGGAACAGCGAGCTCAAGGAGGCCCTATGGAAACTGGCACAAAGGACACTGTTCCACCTACAGTAACCTTTCTGACGTGGTTTAACCTGGCTGGCAACGAAGCACCACGCAGCCGCTCGCGCAACCCCCCCCCTCCCTCAGTGGGATGAGGGAGAGAATTGGAGAAAAGAAAAAAAAAGTAAGACCCGTGGGTTGAGACAGAGACAGTTTAATAAGATGGAAGAATAACAATAGTGATAATAATAATGACAAGAGAATATAAAGAATATATATATAAAACAAGTGAGGCACAATGCAATTGCTCACCACCCGCTGACTGATGCCCAGCCCGTCCCGAGCAGCGATCGCTCTCCCCAAGTCACGATCACTCTGCCCGAGCTGCGACCACTCTGCCCACAACTGACCGACTAACTCCGCCCGAGCATGATGTTATACGGTATGGAATAGCTCTTTGGACAGTTTGGGTCAGCTGTCCTAGCTTGTTATGCACCTGGCCGAGCAGGAGAAGCTCAAAAAGTCCTTGAGTAGTCTGAGCACTACTTGGCAACAACTAAAAACATCAGTGTGTTATCAACATTCTTCTGGTACTAAATGCAAAACACAGCACTGTGCTAGCTACTATGAAGAAAATTAACTCTATCCCAGCCGAAACCGGGACACTTTCTCTGCACATTTCCCAGATAGTCTACTGTTTTCTTCTTTGTGCTAAACCTACTTACAGATAATTTTCTGGGTTTATATTACTTGTCTTGAGTATTGACGCTGTTGTGTCTGACACTTGCACAACACTGTGTGAGGTGCGTCCTGTCAGATAGAAACTCTTCAGTAAAAGGGCATTTCCAAGGTCCAGTGCCTAAAGGCTGGGCTCTTCCTCCAAACTTTCTTCCAGGCAAATTTCCAAGGAATTGGTCTTTTAAAGAGTCTGTTCTTCTTGTGTTCTCAATTGTTTGGAGGTTAAGCTCATGGTACTATTGGTTTCCACTGGACCAAGCATTCCTGAGTTAAAACATCCCTTCCTGGTGTGCAATGGCATGGGAAATGGGCTTCGAGCTCCCCGTTATCTCCTCAGGTTTCTTCATGGACTGATGGCTTATACCAGACTCTCTGGACATGAATGTGGAGGGTAAGGAGCGGACAGGATGGGGACTTGCCATGTGCCCTGGGGTTGGAATGAATGGAGACTCAGAAGGTGAATCACCCGCAAAGGTGAAGTCAACCAAGGGTAAATGCACTAAATTTATGCATCCATGATCAGGGTTTCTGCAGTGCCTTTTGAGCCAGTGGGGACACAGCAGGCACAGAGAAGGGAGAGTGGGGAGATGCAGGAGCTGCCTAAGGAGGCCCAGGGCCAGGACTGTTGAGCTGTGGGGAGTGGGGTTGGTGGGAGCAGAGGAGGGGGCAAATTCAGTCCAGGTTGTGCATTACCTACAATATGAATTTGGGAGAGCCGGAGAGGGACTGGCATCTGTTTCCTGATACACTTGAGGCCAGCACTAGCCCTAAGACAGTTGTGGGGACTGAAACACCCTCTCTGCCCCCAAGGACCTCCTATGCCCTTTTAGAGGTCCTCAAGCCTTGCAGTGAATGCCCAGAGTTCTGAAGCACCCTGTGCTGGGCACTTTAAAGGGACCAGCCCAGACTGGGCTGCTCTTCTGGTCTGGGGAGAGGGAAGGGGTAGTGGGGAGAGCTGAGGAGGGGCTGATCTGGTCATGAAAGAATGTGGGAGAAGAAAATACCAGTGTAGAGAGAAGCTGCATATGTGTGTGCAGGGTGGGGGCACCCAGCAGGGTCCTCATGGTGCAGAGCCAGGCATCATGGTGAAGGAAGCAAGGCAAAAAAAGTGCAGTAGAGAGGGGCCCAGCCTCTGCCATGTTCCCTGAACATCGGGAAAGATACTCCAGAAAATTGTCCCAGAGCAGTCCCACACACTGGCCACTTTCATGTCCTGCCGTAGACCCCAGGAGGGGCCTTTGCTGCATTCTCCTCTGGGGCTCAAGTCCCACAGCTCTTGCCACAGCTGGTCGCTCACCCAAGCCCTTTCTCAGACAGCTCCAAGAAGATCAGGTCCTCATGGCCTTGTCTCAACAAATATTGAAAATCTCCATTAACTGAGATCCTACCAACTGGCCTGGGGCTTTTCTCCAGTGTTTTATTCAGAAAGATTTTTCAAGAACCCAGCTCTCTCAGCCTCTCCTTGTACATAATGTGCTCAAAGCCCCAGTGAGCCTTCTTACCTCTGCAGGACTCACTTCATTCTGTGTAGGGTCTTCCTTGTGCTGGGAAGCCCCAAACTGGGCACAGCAGTCCTGATGCAGCTCTGTGGTGAGTTAGCCTTGGCCAGCAGCCAGACACATGCCCAGCTGCTCAGTCACTCACTCCCCTCATTCAACATGGAAAAGGGAGAAAAGAAACCAGAAATCTCATAGGTGAAGATAAAGTCATGGAGATCAGGTACCAGTTGACTTGCTGAGGATCAATTTAATTGATCAATTAAATCAACTGATCAATCCTCCTTGCCAATTTTCTGTTATTTTCCCACATATCACCCCCTCGCTCAAGAGACCACTTCTGCTGGAGCTGGCAAAGCTGGAGGTGTCCATTTGGGCCTGCAGGGTGTAGCACAGGGTAATTTACAGAGGAACGCAACAGGCACATCTAGGAAAAGGAATAAACATATCCCTAAAACAATGCTTTGAATCAGGTGTCCCACTCCTCCTGTCAGGGAATTAAACCACTCAGCCAGCCAGGCACCACCAGGAGACTGATTCATGTGATGCTTGAAGTCATGGAGATGGTGTCATCCCCTATGCTGGCTGATTCATCAGTTATGTTGAAGCAACACACACCTTTAAAACTGAAGCAGTGTTTATGGTGTCCGTGGAGGAGATGGTCCACCACCAAGTGATTTGGTAATGCTCATTGGTGTACGGCTCTCGCCAACTCAGAAAAAATCACAATGAGAAACATGAATATCAAAATCACTTAGCAAGGTACAATTCTGTAACAGAGCTCTGGGGGTTGGCACGCCAGTGGAACATGCTGTCAAGAGATCTGCAGCTGTTAACCCTCCCTCAACACAAACCACAGATGAGTCAGTTACAGTAGAGGCCAACCAAATCTAAGTATTCACATGTTCATCTTGCGGAAATGTATCCAGGGCATGTGCTTGTAGCACAAGGACTACAAAGCACGACAAGCCAACCTGGGAGGAAAACAGGAGTGTCATCTCCTTCCAGCAATACATACACCCTTGCTCCAGCTCCTTCAGTCAATATTACTCTGGGTTTGGTAACCTGAAGTGGGGCAACTGCCCACAGAGATGGCAGAGCTATGGCTTGCGCTTTTCAAACTGAACTTCAGTTCAATGTTGACTCAAGCACATTGGACACGGTGCCTATAGGAGTCCATCACAGGTCTATGTTATCGAAACACAGATGCTCTACTGGTCAAGCACACAAGACTAAGCAACACTTAGTATGAGTTTGATATCCTGATGTGGGGTATTGCCCACAGAGATGGCAGAGCTAGGGCATGTGCTTTTCAGACTGAACTTCAATTCAGTGTTGGGTTTGTGACACCAATAACACAGTTCCAATGCTACCTCCTCTACATAAGGCACAGGTATTGGTCGAACATACCTGAAATACAAGAACTCAAGCATATGATATCAATAGAAGATGTAAAATAAGAGGAGCAGTTGGGGTACGGAACAGTTCGGCATTCTCAGGGGTTATTATATGAATCTTCACATCTTGACTAATAAGTCACTGTCCCACCACAAAATCCATCAGTGTAAACAGTTCCATTTCCCCTGTAACTAATACCGTGGGAGAGATACCATCTGGAAGAATGTCATTCCTCACCATGATTTGTTCTGGAGGTATTGTCATATGATCATAGGCTGTTTGATTATGAATATTGCAGCTATTTAACAAAAAGCCAATGCTGTAGTGAAATGGGAACTCTAACCATGTAAAGTGTTAGCACTTGTTAGCTTCCCCAATTGTTCCTCCAACAGCCCATCTGTTCTTTCAATCAAGCTATTAGCTTGGGGATTGGTAGGCAGTGTGGAATATCCAATCTATCCCCAGCCCTTGAGCCCAGTCTTGGCCATTCAGTCCACTAAAGTGTGATCCTTGGTGACTTTGTATTTGGGGAGGAGGTCCGTGTTGAGGAATGAGTTGTTCTAGTGCTTCAGCTGGGTTATGTTGATCAGCATATTTGGTGGGTTTAGCAAAAACCAGTCCTGACCCTGCGTCCACAGCAAGGAATCCATATCGCCACCCCCACCCCCCATGTCATCGACCTGCCAGGTACTCAGGGCCCACTGACCCTGTTTGGTCTTTCCCCATGGCCTTTATAATGCCCTCAAATGTAGGTGTGGACAAACAGTGCAATGATGTGCACAGGCTTTATAAACACACAATGGGTATTGAAAAGAAAGCATGAGCAAGCTCTAGCACCTCCTTCCAGGGTTGTAAATTTTTGATCAGTTTTTCTATAAGAGGAACCATGTTTGGTACCGTAACTGCCAGTGTGGGGGTGACTTTGTTCAATTCTCCGTGATCTACAGTCATTCTCCAAGTGCCATCTGGTTTTCAACAGCCCAAATAGGTTATTAAAAGCAGTCGCGGTTTCCTTAATGATTCCCACTTGTTGAAGTGCCTGCATACTTTGAGTAATTTCCTCCTCCAACCTTGGCAGGCCCAGGCAGCCCAACAGGATACCGCTGTAGGAATCCATGAAGGACAGTTGTAGATCGAATGGCAAATCCCGCTTGCAAAGTTCCAGAGCAGAAGCGACCATTTAAAGTTTGAACTCCTTGTCCTGCCAACACATCAATAACCAAGGTACATTCTTTAATTGTGTAATTAACAGTGGCGTGGTAAATGGAATGGCATTTCCTATTGTTAAGGTGACCTTAGCTCAGAGGACAGGGGCCAGGTTTCTCCCCAGTCCAAAGACCTGTGACGTGGTGTCTTTATTATTTATATTACTCTGTAATACAGAAACCTCAGCTCCAGCACCCACCAGAGCTAACACTGGTAAAATCCCCCCAGACCGCCACTCTATAGTTAAAGGAACAGAGTGGCGTCGGTGCCCCTCACGGTAGGATGCGACAGTGGTGGCAATTTTGGGGGACCTGCAAAACCTTCATTTCTTCTCTTTTAGGACTTCCTGGGTTGTGCCTTGCCTTGAGGTGGCAGGCGGGGGTGAAGGGTGGGCTCAGAACTGGTATTTGGGCCAGGGGCAGTCAGCTATTTTGGATAGATGCTAACTTTTCCCATTGGTGAAACATTTCTGAAGTTGTAAACCCATTTATTTCTGATTGTGGGACACCAGCTTGTACAAGATACTTCCATGTTTGTTTCCTCATGACCCGTGATGTAACTCCTTTTGGTTTTGCTGTCTTTCCTTTATTCTCTATGCGCACAGATGGTCCCAAAGATATAGCCTAAATTTCCCTCAAGGTGTACGTTACAGCCCCTACATTAACCATAGCATTTGTGACTGCTGGTATAATCAATGCTCCTCTCCAAAGCTGCAAGTCACTTGAGCCAATCTTCTGTTATTTTCCCACTGAGAACATCATTCAAGCTGGAAGGGACCTCAGCAGGGGTCTCGACCAACCCCCTGCTCAAAGCAGGGCCAGACCAGATCACTCAGGGTTCTACCTGAGCATATCTTGGTCACCTTCTGGGATAATGCCAGCACAAATTCCCTGGGAAACAGCTTCCAGCATTTGACTATCCTCATGCTGGAAAAGTATTTCTCTATATGGACCCTAACCGTCTTGTTTCAGCCCATTGCCTCTTGTCCTGGTGTCCTGCACCACAGACACAAGCCTGACTCAGTCTTCCTGGGAAGCGTGCCATGCCGCTACATGACCACCCCAAGATCTTCCTTTCTCCAAGTTAGACAAGCTCAGCTCCCTGCGCTTTTTCTCACAGGCAAAGTGCTTTAGTCCCAGCCCTCTTGGGAGCCCTTCCCTAAAATGGCTCCAGCTTGCTGACATCTTTCCTATATTGGGCTCTGAAATCTGGACACAGTGTTCTGTATAATCCCTTCTCTTGTTCACCTGGTGGTGCTGCTGGTCGTCCAGCCCAGGACGCTGCTGGTCTCCTTTGCTGCCAGGGCACATGGCTGCCTCCTCTCCAACTCCCCAACCAGCAAGACCTTTCCCACAGAGCTACTCCCAGCCAGGCAGCAACCCCAGCCTGTGCCATTGCCAGGGTAAGTTCCCTGCAGGGCCAGAAACTGGCATCCATCCTTGCAGGTTTTCCTGAAAGTCCTGCAAAAATGTGCTTTCCTCTTCCTTGAACCCTTGCCCTGATCACAGAGGCCTGGAGACCATTTCAGTAAGGACTCAGGCACAGAAGGCCTTGAGACCCTCAGCCCCTCCTATCTCTGTTGTTATTAAATCCCCCTCCCTGTTCAGCAGCAGCCCTGCATTTCCCTTGTTCAGCCTCGGTTTCTAACGCAGCAATCAAACTCTTCTTTTTGCTTTTGCCTTTCCTTGCAGCCAGCATCTCCAGGTGAGCGTCGTCTTTCCTACAGACATGCCTCCACAACAAAGGCAATCTACAGAGGCTCCCTCTTGGTAGCCTGTCCTTGCTGTCACCTCCTGGCAGCTGCTTCACTGCTCCTGTCAGCACCCTGTCCCTGTGCTGGCCCAACCCCACTGCCCACACACAGTCCCACAGCCCTACTGTGCAGGCACAGCATGGGAAATGGTACAGTCAAGGGTGGGGAAAGTTCTGACCGTTAGGACCCCAATGACAACATTCAGATCACAGTTCCCCCATGATCCTCCTCCTTTTGCAGCCTTCCCAGCACCTGACCCCTGCCCCAGCCTTGTCCCATGTGGGGCTTCGCAGAAAGCCCTGCTCTAGAGTCTGCTTGGGTCTGGGCAAGGAGAAAGGCTGGGTAGGGCTGTCCATTCCCCCAACGGGCCTGTAGCCCAGCAGGAGATGGAGATGACCTCACAGCAGAACTCACCTGTAAATCTGGGCTGACTGGCAAGTGCTGGTGACTGGCAAGTGCTGGAAATGGCCAGTGAGAGTGGCTGCAGGGCGACAAAGGCCCTTCATAACCTTCCCAGTCAATGACACCAAGGGCACAGAAACATCTCCTCCTCTCTCCTGAACCTGCAGGTCTTAGATACCTTCCAGAAGGCCTGGCTCTGCATCACAAACTCCTGATTTGAGTCCTCACCTTTCATGGTCACAAGCAATACGCTGATGTTTTCCTCTCCCAGGCACTTTCCAGCCCAGCCCAGATCCTTCCAAGCCCTTCCCACCTCCTCCAGCACAGCCCAGCCTGGGCTGGCCCCACAGCCGTGTCCACCACAGGGAGCTGCAGAGCTCTGGGCACTCACCCCACAGCCCCAGCCCCTCTGATGGGCACAGCACCTCCTCAAGGCTGGAGAGGGGTGAGCCCCAGAGGTGGGAGGCATCCATGGCACGAGGAAAAAAAATCCAGTGGCACCTTGTGGCCCCTGCTCTCGTCTCCTGGAGACCCTGAGATATCTGCAGCCCCTCCATGCCATCCCCTCTCCCTCAGGTCAGCACAGGATCCCAGGCCTTGGGGCTCCCCAGGCTGCTCCTGCTGCCCCAGAGACAGAGCAACCTGCCCCAGGCTGGTACAGCCAGAAAGGTGTTTTCATTTCCCATTCATTCCTGCCCCACTGAGGGTGGATCTCAGAGAAAGACACTGCTGACAGTTCATTTATTTGGCTTAAATACACAGAGAGCCTCGCTCCTTATTCACACAAACTTTCTGGGTCACACAACATGATGGATACTTGAGAAGGAGGGGGGTTTTTGCAGACAACATCATCAGAAGTTGAAAAAGGAAAATAAAGCAAGTGAACAAATAAAAATGACCCACCCTGCCTTGACACGCCAGACTCTGGGAGTCATTTGTGGAGGAAGGTACACGGTCTATGGCTGTTGAAAAGCGTGTGATCAGTTTCCTCAGGGCAGCCTTGAGCTCCTGGTTCCTCATGCTATAGATGAGAGGGTTCAATGTCGGAGGCACCACTGAGTAAAGCACTGCCACCACAAGATCCAGGGATGGGGAGGAGATGGAGGAAGGCTTCAGGTAAGCAAACATGCCAGTGCTGACAAGCAGGGAGACTACAGCCAGGTGAGGGAGGCATGTGAAAAAGACTTTGTGCCATCCCTGCTCAGAGGGGATCCTCAGCACAGCCCTGAAGATCTGCACATAAGACAGCACAATGAAAATAAAACACCCAAATGCAATAGAGACACTGAATACAAGAAGCCAAATTTCCCTGAGGTAGGCATCTGAGCAGGAGAGCTTGAGGATCTGGGGGATTTCACAGAAGAACTGGCCCAAAGCATTGCCCTTGCAGAGGGGCACTGAAAAAGTATTGAGTGTGCAGGAGAGAGCACTGAGGAACCCACTGCCCCAGGCAGCTGCTGCCATGTGGACACAAGCTCTGCTGCCCAGGAGGGTCCCGTAGTGCAGGGGTTTGCAGATGGCAACGTAGCGGTCATAGGCCATGACAGTGAGAAGAGAATACTCTGCTGCTACCAAGAAGGCAAACAGAAAGGCCTGTGCAGCACATCCTGCATAGGAAATGGCCCTGGTGTTCCAGAGGGAACTGGCCATGGATTTGGGGACAATGGTAGAGATGGATCCCAGGTCAAGGAGGGAGAGGTTGAGGAGGAAGAAGTACATGGGGGTGTGGAGGTGGTGGTCGCAGGCTATGGCGGTGATGATGAGGCCGTTGCCCAGGAGGGCAGCCAGGTAGATGCCCAGGAAGAGCCAGAAGTGCAAGAGCTGCAGCTCCCGTGTGTCTGCGAATGCCAGGAGGAGGAACTGGGTGATGGAGCTGCTGTTGGACATCTGATGTCTCTGGGCATAGGTGACTGTGGAAGGAGGATAGCACACTGACAAGTTCGGAGAGTTTTCTTTGAGGAAATATCTTCCCGTCGTTAACCACCACCCCTCTGCAAGCCCCACCTGTCCCACCACAGACAGAAACACAAATTGCCTCTCTCCTTTTTGGCAGCACCTGTGCTCGTCTCCCTGGCTGGAACTGCAGTTTGTGCTTTCTGAGTCTGCTGTGAAGAGCAGGGCCTCTTCCTCTGGGCTCCCAAGGAGTCAGCCCTGCCCTACAGCACTGGTCCCTGGGAAAGGGGGGGGACAAATTCTCATGTTCAGAACAGACCAGGCTATTCTAAATATAAACAGCTCTTGTAGTTACTCTATAGATCAGATATACCCCACTTGTCATGTGGAAGAAGTGTTCAACATCCTCAGCATGATAAAGCGGGGGAAGCACTTGGGTGTCTTGAGGCTGTTCTGACTGGGACAGAATGGGCTCGTTCCCCAGCCCCACACGTTACATTTCCCAGAGGCCCACAGGGCACAATGGGCTTAAGGAATTTGCTCCCATGGAGACAGCTGCATGGCAGGAATTGTGGCATCAGTGCCTGAGCTGCAGCTAAAACCCCAACCCCACAGATCTTGAGGGGAAGAAGAAGGGCAGCGGAGGCAGCAAGGGCACAAGGAGATGTGCTGAGGGAGAACAGGGAGAGACAGTCAAGCCCCTGGGAGCTTCTCCTTCATGGAAACTGTGCTGCCAGGGAAGCAGCTCAGCCTGAGATCGCTCAGCCTTGAGGACAGACGCTGTGCTGGGTGGGAGAGGAGCCTGGGAGCATTGCTAAGGGGCAGGCATCAATACTGTAGGGGATGGCAGGGAGCTGCCCGAGTTCCCCTTCTGATGGTTCTTCTGGCAGTAGCTCCCTCTCACTCCCTGCCCATGCCTCCACTGCCTGGAGCTGTCCCTGCCAGGAGCTCTGTCTCTGTCCCCACGTCTCCTCCCTGCCACTGCTCACAGAACCTATCCCACCCACTGAGAGCTCAGCACTGCCCAGGGACATCTCTCTGTGTCTGCAGATACCGATGAGGATGTCAGGGCAGCCCTGATGAGGCTGGAAAGGAGATGCTGGTGCTGTCTGTAAGCCAGTGAACCTTGATGTTCCTCTCTAAGTGAAAATAATTTGGAGTTTCAGCACTTACTCCATAACTGAAACATGAATTTCTGTCTTACACTCCCTACCCATCAATCCAAGAGTAGAGGACAGAAAGCACAGACTCTTCCCTTTCAGGTAATCCCTGCCTTGATGTCCCTCTTGAGAAGTCCCTTCAAAAATGCCCTGGGAATGAGCTGTGAGTGGCCCTTTCCAATGGAGAACCCTCTTGACATCAGAAGGACCCTGCTATGCTGGGTTGCTCCTTCCACCCACGGCTTCTCCCTGCAGAACCCTGGGGAGCTCCCCGGGCAGGCTGAGTGCTGACCCTGGCAGGCAGCAGAGTCCCTGCTCCGGCACACAGCCCCCTGGGGTGCAGGGACCCTGCTGAGAAGGACAGCCCTGGGCACCCTTGCCTGCACACCCACCTTCACACACCTACAGCTGGTCCCAGGAGAAGGGATCTGTCTTACCCTGTCCCTCTGATGGTGTCAAAGGAAACCTTCCTGTGGAGGATCCTATCATCCTTCACAATGAAGAAACTTGAAGCATCATCCTGCCAGATCCTATCTGCTGTGGGATATGTCAGCTTCAGGAGAT